CCTTCCCCGACTCAAGGATTCCTGGCGTTCCCTGCCCCCCCCCCCCCAACAATATCTCCTCCAGCGCAGAGCGCAGCACAAGGCGTGCACCGCTCCATGTCTGATGGCACCGAGCACCCGATTCGATTTCCTGCCATACGATTCGGCAGAGGCGAAGGTCACTGGTGTTGGTGAAGGGGCCTGGCGGGGCCCTAGGGCCTGGCCCTACCCTTCCCTTCCGCCGTGTCATCCGCGCCCTTCACACGCGTGCGCTCATTTGCTGTGGGCTCCATGGGTCGGGAACAGAACACATGCTCGCCCGCCGCCTGGCCCTCACGTCCGGGATCATCTGGGCGAGCCAGGCGGGTCGCCTCACAGGGTTTTAGGAAGTGAAAGCGTCAGGCCTCATACCGTAGTAGTGGTAGTAACTGTTGCGTGTTGCGCGCACTATTCGAAAGTACATTTATTTTTGAAATGTAGAAAACACATGAGTGAGTTGGCTTGTATTTTCCTCTGCGCCCGTCGCTTGTGGCGGTGCTTGTAGTTCTCGTGCGGCTGGGCGGGGTGGGCCGGAGCGTCCCTTACCGGCCTCATGCTGCAGCCAGCGCGCCAGGAAGCCCACGGGGTCCTCGGGCCTGGTGCGCGCCAGCTCCGCCAGCGCCTGCGCCAGCGGCCTGCCCACATGCCGTCGGAGGTACTCGCTGGGGCTGGCCGGGCTGGCCGGGCTGGCCGGACTGGCCGGACTGGCCTCTGGGGGCACAGAGAGCAAGGGCGCTTTAGGTGAGATGAGCGAAGGAGAAGAGTTGCGGGTCACTCGGCTATGGTTCTCAACCCCTACATCTCTCTCCTGGCTCCAGCTGGTATAATTTTAATCCTGCTTGAGAATATCGTCAGCAGTCCAAGTAATTAATTACACACGCAAAAGTACTGGTGCGTAAGATCACAGAGGTCGTTTCTTAGAGGTGAACATCTTGTGTTTGAATGATAGGCGGCACCGTGCACAAGGTGGAAGGAGGCGTACCCACCCATGACGGACACGGCGAGCTTGGTCTCAGACTCCATGAGGACGACAGCAACGGCAATCACCAGCAATCAACGTTGAACGTCGAACAAGAGGCGATCACCGGCGACGGCGAGCGCGGAGGGCGCGGAGCTTCGCTACCATTCGCTACAGAGCCGAGGGAGGGGGCGGCGCGCAGGGGCAGGGCGTCAACAACGACCCACAAGGCGGTGGCGGCCGCGCGGGGCGGGCGCAGCAGCAGCAGCCCCCGGGCTCCATTCGGCAATGCCCCCAAAATTACAAGTTCATCTCTTCTTTCCCGGCCTCTAAATTCTACCACGATCATATCATCAAAAAATCATACTGCCGCAACGACTGAAAAATAATTAATCAAGCACCACAAAAAAAGGCAACAGAAGCGACTAAGGAAACATGACGGAAACGGAGAAAGACAACCAGGACGAAGGTAACCTTTCAGGCCAATAAGTTTTTGAATGTCAATGAACAAACTGCTTCCACACAATACAATTTACATGAGGTGGGAAAAAAGACATACGGGCCGTCGACTGCGAGTCACAATGTCCACCATGCCCTAGATTAGTCCAGCGTCGGTTCCATCTACTGCCCTCGACTTTCATG